ACACACACACACACACACACACACACACACACACACACACACCATAAAAACACAAAATTGGAAACCATAATAGATAATTGAAATACAAGCAAGGTTAATAACAAAAGGCCAAAGTATTATGAAACAAAACATCTCCAAAAACATCATTGAGTTTATTTTGTGTTGCCCATCTACTTCTGGGTGTGGAACTGCCCTAAAGTGTGGCTTGTATATCCATTGAGACTCCAATGGAGACAACTCATTTTTCCTTTTGGAGTGGTTGTCAATTGTAGATGGTGTCTTGGTTAGGGATGGGGCTTGTGTTTACTTCCCCTCTGAGCACCGGGACCCTATCTAGCACGGATATGTGTAGGCCTTGTGCATGCTGCTGTGCACAGTCTATGTGAGTTTGTATGTACGCCAGTCCTGTTCTGCCTGGAAGATATGACTATCCCCACTGACTCTTACAGCCTTTCTGTCTCCCCTTCCTCCTGAGCCCTCAGGGGAGGGTTTTGATGGAGACATCCCATCCAAGGTCTCTTGCTTTCTGCACATTTCCCAGTTGTGGGTCTCTGTATTCATTCCCATCTCCTGCAGGAGGAAGCATCTCTGATGATGGCTGAGTGAGGCTATGGATATAGAAGGATGTTGTTTATTAACATTTATATTTATTTTTAAAACCTTTAGCTAGATCTCAAAGATAACACAATAACCTGAAGAAGCCTCATTTGCAACAATCAACATTGATATCGCTGACCCCAGTTAAACACGTACACCTTCTGACTTCCCCCTTCATTCTTAATTTTCCTAAAAAGAAACACCTTTCACATCACATATTTTCAAAAAATATTTCAGTAGATGCCATGGAAAAATAAGAAAACACCCCTCTTTCCCTCTTCAAAAACATCACCTCCATAGCAATCAATATTTGGGAGACCCAGGATGTCTTCCCTGGAGAGAAGACCATGTCCATTCCCCAGGTAGAGCAGGTGTCTTCAAAAGGGTTGGCCAGAAGCCTGGTTTGTCATGTCTGGCATGTTAAGTGTCTAGGAAGAGTATGATTGGGAGGAGTGGGTCTGGTGATGGAGCCACATGGCCTAGGTAGGTGTGGATTTAACTGCAGGTGCCTCATGAGCATGCTCAGAGAGGGAGGAAGTGCAGGAGGTCTGTGGTCGAGTCTGATCAATATTTCCCAAGCTCGTTCTTGGCACCTGGGGAGGGTAACGTGTCTGACAGGCTTCAGGCTGCATGTAAAATGACTGATTCATAATCCTTCTCAACCCATTGCCTCTTCTCTCTCTGACAGGGGATGATTTTTGAGAAGCTGGGACTGTGTTATGCACCCCAGTTTGCCAGTTTTGTGCATGATCTGAAGCCACTCAAGAGAGATCCTGATGTTGTGGTCACAGATCTTCGCTTTGGGACAATCCCTGTGAAACTATATCAGCCCAAGGAATCCTCCTCCACCCTTAGGCCTGGCATCATCTTCTTCCATGGTGGTGGAACCATCCTGGGGAGCTTGAGTAAGAAAGCCTTTCTTCTGGCTTCTTCAAGCCCCCTGTCACCCTGATAAATGGGCTTGAAAGAATGGTCATTTTGTGGTAATTGGAGAGATGGCTCAGCAGTTAAGAACACTTTCTGCTCTTCCAGAGGACCCAAGTTTAGTTCCTAGTACTCATCTAGGGCATCATACAACTCTAGCCTATAACTCTAGCTCCAAGTGATCTAGCTCCTTCTTCTGGTGTCCATGGACACCTTCACAAATGTGTGCACAACACATACACACAAGTAAAAATAAAGTAAGTCTTAAAATAAGGATGGTCATTCTCCCTGGTAGACAGTCTACTGTTATGACCAAGAAAGCCCAGGGCCATGAGTAGGCACAGATCACTTTGGTGGCATATTATGCAATGGTCTGGCCTGTTCTTAAATTGATATGAGAATACCACTATCACACACTGAGCCACTGCAATCGATTCACTTTCAGATGTTTTTGATAAGTGGTAGAGTACATCAGGTCATGGGCATCTTGGAGAACATTGTCCTTGTAGCTCACAGAAGCAAAACAGTAAGAAGTTGGAAGGATATTTACTCAACAGTCAGAAGCTACTTTATGACCTGCTCAGCTAACTCGGGCACTCTGTTTACAATAGGAGAATGGCCATGAAGGCTGAAGGAAAATGTCCTAGTAAATGTGACGTTTGATTTTGTTTTCTAGGAACCCACCACAGCATATGCTTACGTTTGTCCAAGGACTGTGACTCTGTTGTTGTGGCAGTTGGGTAAGGAAGGGGACAATGGGAGCACATAGGCAGATAGCCCTGATTTGTAGTGATGGGGTCTGAAGGTTGAACCTGAAGCAGATGGATTTGGTGAGGAGAATGGGGGAGGGCTGGGCTGTGAGAACCCACTAAGGAGAAGCAAGGAATGGAGGAGAGAGGGATAGTGGACTAGACCCCCTTCCTTAGTGCATGAAATATTTGTGGATAAAGGCATCATTTAACCCTGTCTTTTGGAGCTGATGGGAATGAGGGTGGCACTTTGATTTTGTTTGGAAGAATTCCTTAGGTCTAACAGCCCTGTCCGTGCAGACAGGTAACATCTCCTCTGCCTAAAGCCTACAGTGCCACTGAAACATCTAAACAACATCACATCCATTCTCAGTGGATGGCAATTGCTTCCTCTGAGCTAAATGGCAAGCAAGAAGGCTTTATGTCTACTATGTGTTTGGGTCCTTGCCTATCTCCTCCTATTCAGGCTTCAAAAAGGGATTTGAGATACAAGATGTTAGACAAGGGTCCTTTGGGTTTGAGTAAGCATTGGGCATAATCTATGGTCCTTCATTCCTCTTTAGATACCGAAAGTCTCCCCAGTACAAGTACCCAGTAATGAGAGAGGACTGCGTGGCAGCCACCACCCAGTTTCTGAAATCATTGCATGTGTATGGAGTGGATCCAGCTCGGGTTGTGGTCTGCGGTGACAGCGTAGGAGGGAACGCGGCCACTGTGGTCTGTCAAACATTTGTGAACCAGGCAGATCTTCCTCGGATCCGGGCTCAGGTTTTGATCTACTCCTCACTGCAAACCATCGACTTTGGGGGCCCTTCTTACCAACAGAATGCCAACATCCCACTGCTCTCTTGGAATCTGGCCTTCTACTGTTACTGTTGTCACCTAGACGTGAAGACTTCCTGGAAAAGCGTCATCAAGAACCGCGCCCATTTGCCTCTGGAAATCTGGGAGAAATACAGAAAGTGGTTGGGCTCAGAAAACATCCCAGAGAGGTTTAAGAAGCGAGGCTACCAATGCATACCCCCAGGGCCTGTGAATGAAGATGCTTACCAGGAGGTAAATGTCATACTGAACACAACATGCTCACCCCTCATTGCAGAAGATGATATAGTATCTCAGCTCCCAGAAACCTGCATTGTGAGCTGTGAGTATGACCTTCTCCGGGACCATTCACTCCTATACAAGAAGAGGCTGGAAGATCTGGGGGTGCCTGTGACGTGGTATCATATGGAGGATGGTTTCCATGGAGTGCTTAATACCCTTGACTTTGGCTTCTTGAGCTTCCCTTGCTCTTCAAGAATTATGGATGTGGTTACCCAGTTTATTAGAAAGTTGTGACCCTCATTCCTTCCTGTGGTGGCTCCATCAACCTAGTCTGGGTCCTAGAAGAATACAATGTATGCTCTTTATGATGAGTAGAGAGGAGACAGGCTGAAGAGAATGGAGTGAGGCTCTATGTCCTTGTTCACTCTTTGGGGAAAATCTGAGCTGACCATCTTCAGCATCTGGTTGAGAGACTGAATTTATACATGAAGCTTTCCATAATCCTCTTAGCTAGAAGTCAGGCTGTCTAGGCTGATTGAGACTGTATGATAGGTGTATCTGGTTGACTTGACCTTGAAGAAAACAGGTGTGTTGTGTATAGTCTCATTAGGCTCTGCCAGTGTGGCTCAGAATGTAGAATTGTGATGCCCAAGTTTGTTGGGTGGTGGGTGGTGATGACAATCTCTGGGTGCCCAGCTTGCTTAAGCTGAAAGCTATGAGACAGCGAACAGATTCCCCATGGTACAGGACTCCTAGATAAGATGAATAAAAACTGCCAGAATTGTGTGCCTATGGAAACTTGGAAGTTCTGGGTATCGGGGTTGAATTCCCAACAAACAACCCTAAAGTAACATTATAAATATTAAAAGACCAGAGTGGGAGGGAAGCTTGAGTGCAACCAAACTCAGACCACTTGAATTCAAGTGGGAATTCTAAAGAGAGCCAAGGGAACAGATATGATAGTGCAGACTATTTGTTCTAAGACAAAGAATTAATGCATATTGCCCCAAGTAGGTGTAAAATGGATTGGCATATGTAGCTGTGAGTGTCAGGTATAAATCAGGTGGGGCCTGATGTAGGGGCTCTAAGATAAGATCACTAGCTTGCCCTCTCTTATCTCTGCCCTTCTCTGCTCCTCGCTGATGTTTTCATCTCTCTATATGGTGGCCCTTAACAATACCCTGCTAAGAGTTATGTTCATTTTTATGGGTATATCCTTTTTTCCTCAACAGTCTCAACAAAAATGTCATAGCAATTTACTGTTTCTTGTGTTTTTCTGAGTTGTGTGTGGTGGTTACAAACAAGGGAATAGAAATTTCTGACTGTTCAGTACTAGGTCTATGCTATCCTTGGAGTAGAGTATGTATAGTTGGTTGATTTGTACTCTTTGGTTCTTTGAAGGGCCTACCACCCAGCTCCCAAATAAATCACACACAGAAGCTTATTCTTTCTTATAAGTGCCTGGCATTAGTTTGGCTTGTTTCTTGCCAACTTTTCTTAAATTATTCTGTCTACTTTTTGCCTCTGGTCTTTTACCTTTCTCTATTTCTGTATATCTTTTTTCCCCTTATTATTCTGTGTCTGGCTGTGCAGCTGTGTGGCTGACCCCTTCTTTTCTCACTCCATCTTCTATCTCAGATTCTCCTCCTATTTATTCTCTCTGCCTGCCAGCCTGGCCTAATCTTTCTCTGCCCTGCTATTGGCCATTTGGTTCTTTATTAGACCATCAGGTGTTTTAGACAGGCAAAGTAACACAACTTCACAGAGTTAGACAAATGCAGCATGAAAGAATGCAACACATCTTTGCATCATTAAACAAATGTTCCAGCATAAATCTTAAAATAATATTCCACAACAAATATGAAACAACCTCCCCTGGTATTTGGACTGAGTCACAGATGAGGGTGGGGAAGCAATGAGTGCTTTCCTAGCGGAAAGCTAGATGGTTATTGGGTGGACATTAGTATTCACTCTACTGTGGAAGTGAATAGAGGCCCAATGAATCAAGTTCATGGAAGTGGCAATAGGTGCCAGAGATAAGATGATCAACTGCCCCTTGGAAGTAAAAATTCCTTTGAAGGAGATGACCACGTGGTCCTCCTATCTTTAGGAAGATTTGCCCTTGTTGACCAGCACCTTTCAAAGGCCAGCATCCAAGTCCACTCACAATGGAATCCAGGCATGCCTTAACTTGCTTTCAGTTCATTGTGCTTAAATATGGTCAGAAAGGAATTCTCATGGGTGACTTGTTGAGCTATTCATAACTGGGTAGCAGGTGGCTGGCTTTGGAGAAAAATAGGAACTAGCCACTGAAAACAGATATTGTAGGAAGCAATGGAATCCTGGGAGCATGGTCCTCCCTGAGACAGTCCTTTGAGTTGAGACTGAATAGGTCTTCAGACTGGAGTGACTTTTGTGCTGTGTTACTCCAGTCACTGGAGGCACACGGAGTACGGATTGGCCTTCCAGGTAGATGGGAGCTTGTCTCTTCTATTGGGAGGAGGTAAAATTGATAAGCTGCTGGAAGACTGGCCAGTAGAAATGGCTGGTGACATCTCAGGGCTGAGGGTGCATTTCCACAATGTCTTCCTTCTGTAGATCAAGAGAAAGACAAAGGACTTTTACCTTAGTAGGTGGCTGAGGACCCTAGTAGCAAACCTGTACACCTTTCTGCTAAGCCATTCATTTCTGTCATCATTGCAACGCATTCATGAGGGCCACCTCCTGTGTGCAGAGTATTCAACTTCTTTGTTCCTTACACCAGTTCTACAAAGTGAGTACTCCTCTCTCTCTCTCTCTTTCTCCTCTCTCTCTCTCTCTCTCTCTCTCTCTCTCTCTCTCTCTCTCTCTCTTCCTCCCTTCCTTCCTTTCTCTCTTTGTTTCCATTTTAATTTCAGACAGGGTCTCACCATTTGTGACGATCCTTTTGCTTCATGCTTGACTTCAAAGTGAGTATTATTTTGGAGAGACAGACTCATACCCTATAGCATAGACTGGCCTAAAACTTACTATGCAACCCAAGCTGATCTTGAACTCACACTGATCCTTCTTCCTCAGCCTCCCCATTGCTGAGATTACAGACATGAACCATTGTATCCAATGTTCTCAAAATCACCTTTAAAATGAGGGAACTGGGGCTCTGAGAGATTAATAACACCAATTTCTTGATTTCTCCCAGTGCAACTCAAAGCCAGTCGATTGATTAAACGTGGTGCCCCCAGTGGGCACGGTACATCACAGCCTGACAGGAAAACTTTTGGTTGTACCCAGTGGCCTATTAGCCAAGAAAAGAAGTCCTTTTCTTTCCTATTATTCATTAAAATAAGGGAGACACCAAGCCTGTCATCTTGAGTCATTCCTCATAGACAGGCATCAGATTTTATCTGACTTGAGTTAGCCTGAAAACATCAAGTATTTTTACTCTGTGGGTCCTCTGCTTTCTTGACTATAGCTCTTTCCGAGACTGGATGGCTTTGGCCACCATAGGAGCCCCCTTGGATTACTACTAAGGTGGCCAGCTGCGAGTGCTTAGGAAATGTGGAAACCCATATACTTTTAGGCCCAGACACTTCAAGTTGAGAGTGTTTTCTCAGTAAATTCCAAATACGTCTCTAGCAAGCCCTGCCTGTTAGCTTATGATCAGAACCATCTGATAAAGGACAGAGAGCTGGATCCCAAGATGCTTTTTTTCCCCTCCACAGACAGGGTCTTATGTGTTCTAACCTGGCCTTGAACTTGTTCTATAGCCAAGGATGGCCTTGAATTTCTGATTCTCCTATCTGAGCAGAGATTACAAGCATGCATATCTGAGTTATACAGTGCTGGGAACCACACCCAGGGCTTCATGCATGCTAGACTTGACCTGCTGAGCCACACTCCACGCCCACCGTATTGCTTTCTCTGGTCAGCAGACAATTGAGATAGAGGAATTTGGAACCTATTGAAGATAGTCAAGTTTATCTATGCTGCTCTTCATCCCACTTTGCCTCCACTGTCTGTGACAAACAAGACTCTCTGGCCCTTATCTCTTTGTCCCCTTGAACTCTGCTCTGAGTAACTGCTTGCTCGCTCCTCTTATCCCTAGGTGAGCAAACACAGATCAGGCAGTGCCAATGTCTCCACAGTTCCCGAGGCTATGACAGCAATCATCTATTTCTTACACTGCACTACCTTCATAGGCCGAAGAGGAGTTTCACTTCCACCCCCATACCCCACCCCCAGTAGGGTAAGGGGCAGGCTCTAGGCAAAACATCTTTGGTCTTGTGGCAAAAGGAAAAAAGTATGGTAATCCTCATCCATCTATTCAGATTTCTGCTCTGAGGGATGTGCATGGCTTCTGCTCACATGGCCAGAACAGGCACATGGCCAAAGCTAACCTCAGTGAGACAGAGATGCAAACTCCTCCCCAGGGAAAAAATTTAGAGCTTGGTATACCGTAACGTGAATCTTAAAAGGTCATATTAATAAAAACAAACCTGGGAGCCAGGTATTGGGGTAAATTCTGAAAGATCAGAGAGACAGAACCAGTCACAGCTAACCTCACCTTGCCAACTTCTCAGCTGATCCTGTTTCCCCAGACTGGAAGCCTCTGAGTCCTTATCCAAATGGATCTCAGCTGAATTGCTAGGCTCAAAAGCCTAAAAGCTTAACAGAATCTAGTTCCTGGTTTTCACACCTTATATACCTTTCTGCTTCCTGTCATCACTTCCTGGGATTAAAGGTGTGTGTCACCATGCCTGGCTGTTTCCAGTGTGGCTTTGAACTCACAGAGATCCAGATGGATCTCTGCCTCCAGAATGCTAGGATTAAAGGCGTGTGTGCCACCATTTTCTGGCCTCTAAGTCTATCTAGCTGTTCTGTTCTCTGACCCCAGATGGCAGAGGGTGTGACTCAGCTGTGGGGGCTTGTCCAGCATGCTCGAGACCCTAAGTGCAGTGCCAAAAACCAAACACTTTCCAGCTACATTAGTGACACAGGAATACATCTTCCTTTTAAGTCAAACCTTAAAATATTAGAAATATGGCTAACCTTTACTTTTAAAAAAAAAAATAAGATTTACTCATTTTTATGTGTACGAAGGTTTGCCTGCATGTATGATGTATGTGCATCACATGTGCAGTGCCTGGGGGTGGCCGAAGAAGAGGGCATCAGATCTCCCGGAACTGAGTTACAGGCAGTTGTGAGCTGCCCAACCTGAGTGTTGGGAACAGATTCTGTGTGCACCACTGTGCCTGGCTCCTGCTTTGATTTTTATTTATTTATTTGTTTGTTTCTGTTTCTGTCCTTCCAGACAGGGTGTTTCTGTGTAGGGTGTAACTGTGCTGCCACTCATTCTGTAGATCAGGCTGCGTGCCTCTGCTTCCCAAGGGCCAGGATCAAAGGCCTGTGCCGCCTCCACCCAGCTACTTTGGTTTTTTTTAATGTGATATTGCAAATCCCTTAAAACCTGTTTCTCCATATTTACATATGCACCTATAGAAAATATATATTATTTTGAGAGATGATTTTGGAAAACACTATTACATAAAATACATTATTCTCTTCATGTTGTCCATCTTGTGCTATTTCAGACAACAATTCATCTTAGAAATCTAATTTAGTAAAGAGATTTATCTTAGTTTTGTTTATTATTTTTTAAGTTATATATGGATGTATCTGTGTGTAGATATGTATACGTGAGTGCAGGTGCCCAAGGAAGCCAGCCAGTGGAATCCCCTGGAGCTGGAGTTAGGAGCTGTCTGACATGGGTGCTAGGAACCAAACCTAGGTCTTCTGGAAGAGCAGCAGAAAGTGCTCTTTACCACTGGGCCACCTCCCCAGCCCTGACTCCCTTTCTCTTTCTCCTTCAGTCTAGATCCCCAATCTATGGAATGGTGTTCCTTCACTCAACTATGCTAATCCAGAAATCCTCTCCCAGCCACGCCCAGATAGTTGTTTCCATAGTTACTCTAAATCTCACCAAGATCAATCATCGGGTCTAGTGAGATGGCCCAGTGGGTAAACGCAGCTGCTGCCAAGCCTACCAGCCTGAGTTAAGGTTGTCACAGCCCCTAGCTCCAATAGACAGTAGTTAGCATTTTACCTCTGCCATCCTTGCCTTTATCTTACAAAGCAAAGGATGCCTGGAGTCAGAGAGCCAGCTCCTCCCTGCATAAGCTGCCAGGGCTTGTTCTGTTCTCTGGGCCAAACTCCGAGCTCCAGTGCCACAACTGGTTGACTTGTTCTGAAAATTGCTGGACAAGGTTGGATCAGGAAAAGACAGGGTCTGGGTTCAGTTTCGAAGTATTTCTAGTCCTCGGGAAATCCTCAAGGAAGGGAGGGGGAGCTGCTTCACTGGCAGAGCACTTGCCTAGCATGAGCAAGGCCCTGGGTTCAATCCGCAGCACACAAAAGCAAACCAAACCCTACAAACAAAAACACAAGGGGCAGTCTCTATTAAAACGAAACAACATTCTGCGAATGCCACCACTACAGAGACGTTGCTTTAAAAATTTATTGTTATTATTTTTAATTGTGTGTATGTGGGTGTGGGAGAGCTTATGTACATGTGAGTGCAGATGCCATTGCAGGTCAGTGGCTTCAGATTCCCTGGGACCGGAGTTTTAGGCAGTGCTTGGACTCAAATCCCCTGCAAGAACAATACATACTTACTAAGCCATCTATCTCTCCAGCCCCAACAGAACCATTAATGGAAGGACACTTTCTGGCACTGGGGAAGTGACTTGGTTTCTGGAATACTTACCCAATGTGCACAGGCTCGTGGTCAAATAACACTGGGCACAATGGTCCACACGTGTAATCCTTGTAGAACATTCAGGAAGTAGAGGCAGGGGGTCCCAGTGCTCAAGGTTAGCCTTCCCAAATAATGAGTTTAAGCCACACAAAAGGGAAAGAGAAGATGGTGGGCGGTGAGAACAGGTTCTGGCCTCTCTTGCTGTGTTTGCAAGGCCCCCCAGCAGGCAGACAGTCATTTACCTGCCCTCTTAACCTCTTAGTTTTCCTGCTTGCCAACAGAAGGGCTTGCTCATCTCTAGTGTACCTTGATGCTCATATCAGGAATGCTTACTCGCCCAGTGGGAACTGTGATTAGAGTCCATGTTTTCATCAGACTCAGCTAGAGAGGTGCTGGCTATCAGATTCACAGCAAAGCCTCTGGTGGGGTGAATGGGTTCTTTTCTAGGCCACTTGGAGCACAAGGAGAAGTCAATGGAGTGTTCACCTCTGAGGCCTTGCTGTAGATGTTATCTCCTGCGAATTGCCTCTGCACTAGAGCATGACACACTGCAGTCCCTCTTCCATAGTCCCGAGCACATGTTGTTCTGATTACACAGTAACTTGTTTGAATTAAAGTGGCCCCTAACTTCTCAGGTGGTTGAAAAATCAAGTCTGGAGGAAGATAGTATCATTCTTGACCTTAAATCACTTTTATGAATAACTTTGACAGTATCAAGCAGAGGAGAAAAAGTGGGGGGGGGGGCACTGGAAATAAGAATCTGCTGAAATTATAAAAAAGGAAGGAAGGAAGGGAGGAAGGGAGGGAGAAGAAGGGGCTGGAGAGCCAGCTCAGCAGTTCGAGTTTGAACAGCTCTCGC